AATAAATACATTTTACGCAATAATAATTTTATTAAGCAGCCCATTTTTCAAACAAATCGTTTTAAATTTTGTATTGATTATCGCGGACCATTCTTATGGAATAAAATAGTTTAAAAAAATTTTAATGAAGATTTTATTAATCAAATTAACTACTTTTCTTTTAAACAAAAACTTAAAGAACTCATTTTTACAATCGATGATTTAACAATATACTTCTGATATTTTTTGTGATCTTTATTTTTACCATTTATTTAAAGATTACCATTTATTTAAAGATTTTACCATTTATATAAAAATTTACCATTTATTTAAAAATTATTACCATTTATTTTTACCATTTATTTATTTTTACCATTTATAAAAAGTATATGTAAATCATTAACAACTATAATTTACATATATAATAGATATAATGCATCTTGTATTGATTATGGAGTATTTTAAGTTTCTTACTTTTGTTAACTTATTTTTATTTTTTAATCTTGTAATTATCTTTTAAATTTTAACACGAACATTTCTTAGCGGTACTCGATGACAAGACTGTATGGCCTTCTACAAGTCCCTGCGTTCTTTTATTTTCTAATAACGACCATTATATTTATATATAAATTTATTATTATATGTTTGTATTTGAAATATTGTAACGAAATGCTTATTTTATATGTAATAAAAAGAACGAGAAAAAAAAATACTAAAGTTTATATAAATATGAAAAGATATTGTGCCAGCATCTAAATAAATAGCAAAGAGTACCACAAGGCTCTATCTTTGCTTCTGTAAGGTTTCTTCAATAACAATGAAACTGTTATCTGCAATAACAATGAAAATTTTACATCTAAAGTGGCTCTATTTGCTGACAACTTTATACTCTTGTATTGACAAAAAATCTTCGCTTTTTGATTGCTTAGAACGAGCAGTCGATTTTTAATCTGATCTCTCTTTTGTAGCACTCTAAGGCTTGCAGTAGCACTCTAAGGCTTGCAGTAGCACTCAGGAAGGCTTGTAGTAGCTTGTGGATTTAAATTATAGACTTAAAATCCACAATTTTTGTTAGAAAACTAAACTCATTTATTTACTGCAAAAAAATATATATATATTGCAATATTGTTGGTATTCCCATATTGACAAATAACAAACCTCTTACTCTCAGACAAAGTCTAAAAGCACATTGTAAATGTAATTAGACCTGCTTTACCTGCCAAGCCTGAGCCACTCTTCTATTGTTGTAAGGTTGCATTTCTTTCTTTTTTCTACAAATACTATCATGGTCAATGCTCAAACAAGCTATTAATTCTATTATAATAAATCAAAACTCATTCTTACTAGGCCTCAACAAGTGGAATCCTTTTACTGTGTCTGTCCCTTCATGCTAATAAAACTTTTATTAATCCAGTTTATTTCTTTATATACTTTGCAAAGTATATAAAGTTTTATACTTTGCAAAGTATAAAACTTATGTCATCATATTAAATTGAAATTATGATAAAACAGCCTAACCTTACTGTAACAGCTGTTAGAAAATGCGCTTTTGACCGCAAGTCAAATGCACATTTGACTTGAACATGCATAATTTGCATGGCGAATAAACGGGAGAGGAGGGGCATTGAACATGCCCCCCCCCCTCTTCCTGTTAATTAAATTTCAGAAATAATCCCACCCACACACCCCCCCCCCCCATTTATTAGATTTTGACTAAAATTCCCACCCACCCAATGTATTCGGCACTCGAGAGTACAGACATCTTAGATTTGACTAAAATTCCTACCCACCCGTTGTATTCTACACTCGAGAGTACAGACACCTTAGATTAAAATTTTTAAAAAAGGAGCAAAATGACTTCTGTTTAACACTGACCACATTTTTGATTGCAGCTTTTTTAGCTGATGGTTCCTTTATAAACTTATCATTATCTGGTGATGTAATAATAGCAATGTGGCATTTTCAGTAAGTAGTTTTGCTTATTTTTTAGAAGGTACAATAGTCCTTAAAATAGATAAATTTGGGTCTCCGTGGTGACATGTTGTTTTATTAAACACCTCTGTTTTTTTTATTTCAAGTCTTTTATTGTACTTCTTAGGGGATACAAATCACAATAGTAAAAGGAATTTACAATCAATCCTCTTTTTGTAAGTATGTTGGGTCATATTTTATTTAAAATCATGTGAAAGTTGCAACGAGGCAAATAAATATAATTTTCAGCTAAGTAATTAAACAGACCACATCTGTTTAACTACTTTATTGATGTGTGTATCAAGTGGTTGGAGGCGATGTGTACTATGAGGTGGAATGTAAATTATTTCAATATCCATCTCAATTGCTAATTTAATTGCTTCAATAGTCACATGACTTTTGTGACCATCCAAAAAATACAATACATTTTTCCCATTTATATTTGTATGAAACTTATTAAATGATGTAAAAAGTCAACAAAGATCCCTTATCAATATATCCACTTTTATTGCAATGTATTTTTGTAACCAAAGAATATTTTTGCATCTAAAATCTACATTCCCTTAAAAATAAAAAATTATGTCTGTCTCCTGCTGCATTGACAGTGGCCAAGGTATGTTGTCAAAAAAAAAGGTTTTTTATTAAATTTCTTTTATGATTTCTTTTTTTACGCGTCATTTTTGATGGAAAAGTTAGGCAAAGTTAAATAAAAATAAAAATGCTAATATCAAATGTAATTGTCATTTAAACCTTTTTACGTAATTTTCATTCAAACTTAAACAATGTCTTTAGATTTGTTTAAAATATTAAAAATTGATAAAATGCAGCAGAACTTAAATGGCTTACTGCCTACGTTAAATGACTCAATGGGTACATAAATGGCATTTCACTTTACGCTTTGAAGGAAGGCCTGTATATTTGTATATAAATATAAAAAAAAGGGCATATTTTTTTGTTAAAATAAGCGCTCAATTAAAGTTAAAAACTATATGGCATATATATTGGCATGCGCTTTATTTGAATGTAAATGAAGTGAATGTTATAGTTTATAATATTACTTTTATTTATGCAAATTACTTCTAGCTTACACTTAGCTCTATAAGTAAAAAGTGAGAATTTTGCTAACATAATTAAACACAATCATTTATTATGCTTAATTTTGTTAGCAAAGTTATTATTAATAAGTAAAAATAAACTAATATTTTAATTTTTAAGCAATTTAACGCGCAAACAATTTTATTTTGTTCTAATAGAAAAAACATAAAATAAACTTTAACACAGAACCTTGTTGCAAAATGTTAGCACATTAATAGGTTAGATACTTAAAATGTCATTATAAATATGTAACTGAAAAAAGTTGTCTTCTTAAAAATGCAAAAATTTTAACTTTAGATGTAAAAATTTTTCTTCTCATAGAATTATTAAAATAATATTTCCGGTAGCACCTTAAATCATTTAGCAGGCGTTTGCCATCGGGCGACCGCAACTGTACACTACTGCAATATATTATTACCAACCTTTCCCTTGACAATTTCTTATGTAAACTTCTTATGCTAATAAATTCTATATTTCTGACCAAACCTCATAAAAAGGCCTATAAAAGCTTATAACCTAACATTTGGTTATTGATTTTCATGCGTTTATAGGCTGTTATATCCTTATCTCCATAAAAACTTGGTGAAAATAATAGATAAATAAATTAGCATAAGTTACAGCTGGAAATTTTCTTCATTGTTTTTAAATTTGCTAAAACTTGAATTGAGTAAGGATCTATGACTTTGCTAAGAAGTTTTTGAAGTTTTTTTTTTCGAAGGCAGATCTAGTTTTTTGTTATAAGATTTTTTATTTTTTAGTTATTTAACATGTTGATTTTTAAAATTATAAAAAATGTTGATTATTTACACCACGGTGGCACTAAATTTGGTTCTAATTAACTAGCTTTCTAAGTGTAGTACTTTCTTCAACACTTCTTTAAGTAACAGCTGCTTAAATAGTTTATCTAAATATACCAGATTGTGATATAAACATATATATATATATATATATATATATATATATATATATATATATATATATATATATATATATATATATATATATATATATATATATATATATACATATATATATATATATATATATATATATATATATATATATATATATATATATATATATATATATATATTGTTTTTGCTTAAGTTAAGGACTTTTTTTATTTTCTCTTTTGTTAAGATATTTTTTTCTTTTTAAAAGTTTTTTTTTAGGTAGGTTTTTGTAGCGCATTTTTAAATTTTTAAAATATGTTAAAAGCCATTGGCAAATTGTCAAAACAAATTATTTTTTTGCGTGGTCACATAAATGTGTATGATCCATGTCTTCCAAGTGAATAACTGTTATGCGACATTACCATTGAAGATAATACTTGAATATATTTCTGCAAGGAAATAATAAATTTAGGTACACTGTACTTTCATATTATTTTACATCCATCTAATGAATACTAATATAATTATCAGTGTTGCTTAATCAGGCAGTTTATATAGTTCAAATCTTGCTAAATTCCATAAACTTCTAGAAGACACCAGAAAGTTCTACAAAGTTTTTAGAGAATTCTAAAATTATTCAGAAAAACCCAGAAGATTTTAGAGAGCTCCATAAGGTTAAAGAAAATTCTAAGCTTATGAAAATCATAATGCAACTGCCTGCAAATACAACCTATATACCATATTAAACATTTTGTGTTGTGGGTGATCTTTTATGAAAATAATTCAGAATAAAACCCATTTTCATTACTTCTGAGCAAAAATTCATTGATTTGACAGAAAATTAGTCATTTTACAAAAAATTAAAAAGCCATAACCCTAATATATATATATATATATATATATATATATATATATATATATATATATATATATATATATATATATATATATATATATATATCATATACACAGCAAGATATAGGAAAACATATAACAGGACTTTTAAAACTGAACTTTACATATGGAAAATACTAGAAATACTTAGTTAAAAAAAAATCATACTTAGCTGAATAACCTTGCCATTTTATTAAATACTCAGCTCGCCCCTGAAATAATAATGAGCAACTAAAAACAAATTTATTTATATATAAACTTTATTATTATCTTTAAAACATTAATAACTTCCAAATATCAAACTTAAGTAACATTATACTCTATCAATTTATATAATAATTAATAAAAAACTACATCCTGATAAATTAATTTTTTTCTCAAATATTTATATAAAATCATTTTGTAAAATTATATACTAATTAACTATTCAAACTTTAACTATTATAAACTAACTACAGTGTAAAAAATTGTTAATACAAAATCAAGGTAACTGGAAGTAAAAATAAAGCCACTTAAGTTGCAACAATTTTTGTACAATTATTTTAGAAAAAATATTTATATTCTATTATTTTTAGGTTATAAGATATTCACAAAAAGATACTGTATTTGGAATATGATAATTATAAAAGTTATAATTAATTGCCTAAACTTTAGACAATTATAATGCTTGATTACATTATTATGTTTATCATAGCAATACTTTAATATATTAACTGTACCTTTTTATATCTCTTTTTCAATATTTTTTCAGCAGCAAAAACTCCAGGACCAGTGTCCTTAGGCATTTAAGATAGTTGTATTTGAGGGGGACAGTAGAATGTAAAACTAAAAATATTAAAATATTATTGAGATCTTTTTTGTTACTTTTAGTTGCAAAAAAAACACATTGCTTTCAGGTAATATTAAAAATAAAAAAAAAATAAAAAGTGTTTCAAAATTAGCCTTAAGTTAATTAGTTTAACCTCATAAATCGTTTTACACTGTTTTGGCTTCAATTAAAGTATGGGGACAGGGTAAATCAAAGATATTAAAAAGTATGGGGACAGGGTAAAATAAAGTATGGGGACAGGGTAAAATAAAGTATGGGGACAGGGGATAGGGACACAGTAAAATAAAGTATGGGGACAGGGTAAAACAAATATTTAAAAATATATTTTCCTTAAACTCGTGTAAATATTAAATAAAAAAAATATTTATTTTAAATTCAATGTAAAATTGCACAGAAAACTTCGAAACAAAAATTGTATCAAGATTTATATTTTGTTAATTCAGGATTTCATAAAGTATTATTATTATTTATAAAAATGGATACTACAGTTTGTCAGCCGAGTACCAAGAGGCCGTATGTCCACATTTTCTGTTTTTTCTGTTTACTATCAATAAATATTCAAAAATCAATGGAATATGTGTCTAATAAATTAAGTCTCAAGAATGATACAACTTTTAAAAATATTTAGAAAATTAGTAAGACATTCTGGCGAAGTCTTAACAAATTAAATTTTAAAACTAGATTTTCTCGGAAACGCAAAAAATACGGCTTTTGTTCTCGGCTAACAAGTTGTCTATGAGTTTATAAGGGGCACTGATGTCTATAATAACTCTATAATATCTATATAATATAATAATTAGTACAATTATAATAAAAATATAATATCATAAAGTACGTACGCCAAAAATTTGACCCCCTCCCTCGCCCTTGTTGTTATGCGTACTTCTAAGTCCTTCCCCCCCCCCCCCTTCTCTTAAAAGTACGTTTTTGAAATACCCCCCCCCCCCAACTTTTTTTTTAATTAAAAAGTTTATGGAAAAATAAAAAGTGAAGTACATTAGCTACTTTATACGACCCAAAAGCTCTTCGTTTGCGGCACAGGATCCGAATTTAACAAACCTCTTCAAATATATAGGCAAATATTAATTTAAAAATGGTTAAATTACTATTTAATAGATATGTTCGCTTGGTCTAGCGGTTAGTTCTAAGGCCGGAGATCCCCGGTTGATTGAAGTTTTATATTTTGTGTTTTAATAACGAATTAAATAAAAATAAACTATACTTGAGACAGACCTTTTTTTTTAGAGACCACTATTTAGTAAGTCCGTTAAAAATTTGTCCCACGCGAGATCAGTAATATCGAAAACAAAGCCTAAAACCCAGTGCCGAGGATAGGCTACCTGTACCCCTTAATTTGGGGGAATGGGGGGGAAGAGGGCAGGGGAAAAGGGACAAAAAATTTTGTGTCTTTTTGTTAATTTTAAGAGTTTTTTATTTTAGAGAAATCTAGTGGTAAAATTTGGGAGATTTTGAGACCCAAATGACACGTTTTTTGTGGGGGTCCTCCACCCCATTACCAACGGCACTGCTAAAACCTGTTTTTTGTCGACTCAAAAAAAATATTGCTTGAAATACGCTTTACTCAGGCTCAGGGCCAGTATAAGGGGCGGCATGTGTGCATGAATGTACTTATGTAGTTAAATGTCGATAAATTTAAATCTGTCGATAAATTTAAATTTAGTTTTAGATAAGTACTACATAAGTACATACATGTGTGCATGTATGTACTTATATTGGGTTTAATTATATTGAATATGAATAGCAAAAAAAAGGCAACCGAGAGGTTTTACAAAAAGACTTTATAGGCTTACAAAGAGAAATGAAAAATTATATTTTACGGGCATGAGCAAGAAAACGAGTTTAATGAAGTAGTGATTTTAGTAGAGATCCTCATAAACTTTTTTGTATATTTTAATTATAGATCTTTTTTTCTCTTAACAAAAAATTTTATAGAAAATAACAAAGTAAAATGTTGATTTTTGTTAATATTCCATGCTCTTTTACTAAAGAAATTTATTATATATTCTTTTCGTGATGGGTCAAAGCCAGTGACGTAGAAAGGTTTTTAAATGTTTGAAATAACCAACTTACAAACAACAAGAATATCCCAAATTTTTTTGCGTTCATATGTATGACGAAAAGATTCTTTAAAAAAAAATTATTGTGTTAAAAAATTCAAACTGTTTGTTCAAAGGGATGCGGAATTCGGGTCATCAATTCAGGTGCGTTCCATTCCATTCGGGTGCGGAACTATTCCTTCAAATTTTTGGGTAGGTTTGATTTTGTTAGATGCAATTTTGTTGTATTTTGAGATCTCGCGTAATGACTAATATTATTTAATATTAGTCATAAATTTTAACAAAAATTAAGGCTCTTTACCTACAATAAAAATCAGCACGCAAAGAGAAAATGATCTACTACTTTAAGGAAATAAATGAGGCGTTGTGTAAATTATGGACAATCCTATTGTAAAAAAAAACAACTCCAAAACGAGGTGGAACGGTTGCTAAGAAATATTGAGCGAAGCGGAACGATTTTTTGATTTGATGGCTAAGAAGGAACGGCGTTCCCCTGCGTCCCCCCTACTTTAACCCCTGTGGTTAAAGCTATACTTGTTTATACTTGTTCATATATAGTGACAATGGTTTATGTAACCATTGTTATCAACCAAAAGTGCACAACACTTTTATCATATGTTTTCATATATTTGGAAAAATAAACAATTCTAAATTTAAGTATTAACTAACAGTTTTAATTAAACATTTAAAACCTTTATTTATCGACTATTTAATCATGATTTTATGTTATTATTAAGCAACTATTTTAAGTTTATTGTTGTATAGGTACCCCCCCCCCCTTTGTACCTTCTCCTTTAGAATTTTCATTGATTTAGAAAAAGCATTTGATAATAACTGTCGTGAAATTCTTTTTAAACAAAATTTTATAAATTTTATGGATTTACTAGAAATACATTAAATTGATTTTCAGATTTTTCCTTGATGTTGGTCAAATTTAGCAGCAAAAATACCATTTGGTAAAGATGGTTTATGCTCATATTTTACAGCAATTAATATAATTACAGATAAGCGTAATTTAAAACAAATTGAATTACATAATGTTTTTAAAAGTCTAAAAAAAAGTGTAGGCGTAGACCAAAATAGTATCAATGTACTTAATTCTGTTTTTGACATTACCGAACCTTCATATTTTCAAACTTTTAATTTCTCACTAAAAAAAAAACTAATTCAAAGCTAAGGCTTATGCATTATTTTATGTGTGTATATTTATATGTATGTATGCATGTATACATATTATATACGTACATGTTTATGTTATAATATAATATATACATGTTATATATACATACATAACAAATATATTGTTATATGTATTACAATATTATATTTGCATATTATATTGTTATATATATAACAATATTGTTTACATACATATTATTCGTATGTATGTACAACATGTATGTATATTATTCATACATGTTAGACATATATACAAATAATATGTTAGTATATAATATTGTATAGTATGTTATGTGTATATCCTTATTTTTGATATATAAATAAATGAGCTTCTATTTTAATGATCATAATTTTTGCGGATGATGCAATTTTATTTTATTAACACAAAGGCATTAAAATACTTTTTAACAATATCACTTAAAAACTAAAAAAAATTTATATTGGTTCAAAAAAATTGGTTGTTTCTAAATACCCTTAAAACAAAATTGATACTTTTTTATCCAACCTCTGAAAAAAAAAATTTAATTTCTTGCCTGACCTATTTATTGAAAGTACAATCATAAAAACAGGAAAATTACAAAATTCTTTGGAGTCATAATAAATAAAAACTTATGTTGGAATTGATAATGCTTTCATGAAAATTGTTAGAAGCGTTGGAGTTCTATATAATGTAATTTTACATAAGATATATATCTTATGTCTTACTTTATATAAATTAAACAAACACCAATTAACACAGCTATATTATTAATAAAAGTTTTAATTTTTAATAACTTTTGAATATTTTATGTTTTATATTTGAATTTAAAGAAAATATATCACCTACTGTATTTATAACTCTTTAAAACTTGAAACTTAAAACAAATATAATCTTTGTGTTGGTAAAAATATCCAAAAGCCTTTTTGTCAAACTAAAAATGACCAGTTTTGATTTTTTTATCGTGTTCGTGGATAATAGTTTCACCTAACTTTGATTTTTCTTTTAAATGGTCTTATTCTTCTTTAAACGGAAAATAAAAGAAATTAACTTTTTAACACAATACATATATATATAATTAAAAGTCAAAAAATTGTTAAAATATGTATGAACAACGTGAAAACATGTGAATACTAAATACTGGGAATACATCTGTGACATTTAGAAATAATCTATTCTTATGGAATTTGAAGATATTTATTTATATTTACCTATAATTTTATAATTATTTAATAAGACAAACATTTTTAATTTTTAGCAGGTTTTTTTACATTATTAGGACATAATTTTTACAATTTTTCATGTAAAAAAAACCTTGGGGTGATTTACCACACGTTATTATAACGTGTAACGGTTTATGGTCACGTTATTATAACTGTTATTATAATATATTATAACATGTTATTATAACTGTAACGGTTTTTTATAAAGTGTTAGTTAAAGTAATAAAGTATGCATTTAAATTAATTTCATCTTAAGGTATTATAACGGTTTTAATTACAGATTTAACATTCTGAGACGTTGCGCAAACTCCAAATTTAAGTATATTTTGCAAAAGGTTATTATTTGACGTAACCATACTTAAGTTTGGAGTTTGCACAACGTCTGAAAGTGTCAAAACTGCAAAACCAAAAAATTAAAATTTCCCCACTAAACAGCCCGTCGTTTAGAGTGGTCAAAACCTAACTTTGATGTCAGAAACGATCCCAAAAACATATGATTAGATGTATAATATGATTATATTAGACGTTTTCTTTTTTTGCTAGTTTTTGTTAGAATCTGGCCGACTGTGGATTGTGAAGAATATTGGAATATTG